CACTGGTCATTATGTGATGCTTGTTTACTCAAAACTTTGGACAACGATGAAGCGAAAGAAACTCTAACATTATGCTGAGGTTCATGATTAAAGATCACAACAATCCAGTTTAAATACCTTGTAAACCCTACCACAGTATAAATGATGGCAGCTACAATTGGAAGTTTCCATTTTTTACCCCTCTTTGGGGAATAAATTACAGAAATTCTTTAACCAGCCTCCAAAGTTCCAAGTGACAAAGACTGAACTCATGTCCCTGCTGAACTCCTCTCATCCTCAAACCTCGTCTCCTTTCTTCCCCTCTGACGCCTCACTTCAAACAGCTTTGCACAGTGTGTTATGCTGCATAGCAAAGAGAGACTGCGTTTCTTCCCATGTTGAAAAGGCGCCTGTTTCAGGGGGCTTGTCAGTTAAAATCTGTCAGAAGTGCTCAGCCCAGTTACTGGGGCCTAAGGAGTACAATGACCCCAGACTAAGAGGGTCTATCCTGCTAACCCTGACACTTCACATACAACTCAACTTTACAGAAAAGAAACCCAGTGCTCTGGTCGACACCCTAACCACAGATCCCATTGTGGGACCTCAGTAGAGTGCACAATACTGTTCTATTGACTCAGCTCTTTTTTCCTTTTCAGGATCATGCCTAAGGGAGGGCTTTATGAGCTCTGCATGAAGTCTCTCGCGCCTCCTTTACTCAATCACGTCACCTAACATTTCTTTAGATAAGCAAACAGGCCTTGAGTCTGCTGCTCTCCTATTGGCTGCATCAGGACTGCAAAAGGGGGGAGGTGCTTGGAAGTGACTGAATGAGACTTCACTGAAACTTTGACTGCTTGTGAGTGTAAGAGTACAGATAAACAGCTGAGAGCTGAACCAGGCCTGAAGATGTCAGGAGAATACAGAGGAATGTCGTGAGCTTTTCTTGGATTACATTCCTGATCATCTCATTGTGGACAGACTCAGCAGACAACTTTTGATGCATTAATCACAACATAAGGTAACTCATTCTTCTCAGACTTAGTTTTTCCACACTCCAGGGGGTATTTGCTGTGCAGTGATTCAGGATAATAGAGCAAGCATGCTAACAGAAGTATTTCATGGCCTTTCTAGGTAGTTTTCTATTGCTTTTGCAATAATTTATTTACTGAGTAAAAAAGGATTTCTTAACCATCTGCATACATTTGAGTATGATATGCAAGGTCTTTTTTTGGTGAAGTTTAAAGGAAGCCATTGCAACACTGTGAGATACTTACTTGCCCACCTGCTGAGAGAAATGGTCAGTAGCTTCATAGCTCCCACTGAAACACAGTTGTAGGACTATAAGAAAATATTGCCTTGTTTTGGAGAACAAACCAATCAGTCAAACAGAGAGTGAAAGAGAGAGAGAGAGAGAGAGCTCCTTCATGAACCCTGCTCCACTTTCTGCAGATTTTCTCCATAACACAGAAGAATGTGCCTCTAAATCCTTTAAGCAACTTTTTTAATCAGCTCTTGTGGTTCAAACAAGAAAAGATGGAGGGAGAGAAAGTTCACCCAAGAAAAAAACATCTTTGAGAAGTTTAAAACAGCTACTTTTTGTTTCAAACACACAGTGACACACAGAAAAGTCCCCTCTGGTTGAATCCTTCAGAGAAATGGGATAGTCTGTGATTTGTTATGCTTTATTTCTCAGCAGGCTAACACCCTGTTCCCCCCACACAATCACGTGCTTTCAAAAGATTATGTTTAGGGGCCAGAAAACCCAAATCCTTGTGTCGGTCCGCCCTTTTGAATGACGAAGAATGTGATAGTTAAATGCAGTTTACTTTAAGAGGCTTCTGGGAGATTTTAATCCTCGATTTCTTCGATTTTCAGATTTTAATCACGAGTAACTCACTTGTTTACTTGAGCTTTGGCAGAAATCAGCATCCCCGCCTTAGTGACTGGAGTTAAAAAGGATAAATATAGCAGCTGCTGGGAAGATGATTTTCAAAACAATACATTGAAGACACATTGGTATATCTTCAATTGTGTTTTACATGTTGGCTGTATTAGATGACGGATAATAAAACCGCGCCTTTCCTCCTGTGTTGCGGCAGTACCCATTTAATTCCCACAAGAAAACAACCTGATTCAGTTTGATCTCAATAGAGATTTACTTTCCACTGGTTTCTCTTGAGCAGTTTTTCATCAAGTTAAAAATCCATGTCAGTGCTCACTCAGAGGACAGCAGATATGGCTCATTGGTTATGCTCATACCAGGAAAGATGAACTTAGGATGATGTAAACAGACACTGATCAGGCTTTGACTCACTCTGGACACACCAGAGTACACATGGACTTCTGTTGAGCTCCTATTACAACTATGTTGTATTTTGTAAAGCCGTTCTGTCCTCAGGGTGAAGAAACTGTTTATTGACAGTGTCTTTGCTGAAAAGTAAGGTACACTGTTCAGCTCAGCATAAGGAGGCCACATACCAACCCTCTATGTAGGACACCTGGGGCTCTATTTTCATGCCTCGCCGGAGACGTGCCGCAGGCGCGTCATAAGTCAGGTCCGCTGCGCCGACAAGGCGTTCCCAAGCACAATTTGGTATTTTGGTGAGCAGAGAAGCCCGGCGTAAGTATCCCCCCTCCCAAACTCAGCTCCTCCCTGTGGCGTAAGTCGTAGCGAGGGAGGAGAGAGGGCGTGGAGTGGGTTTAACACAGCCGAGACCTGTTTTCACCAATCACATCAGCTCCTCTCCTTGCCTTTAAATCCGCCACAGGCGAGGCGTATTACTATTTTCATGAAGTAGTCAAAGAGATCAAGAGATGTCTGAACATAGTAATGCCACAAGATGGGGACAGAAGGCAGCTCCTCAGCAAGTGTCACTGTAAGCGCTGCATTGGGCGTCCTCCACACTCTCTCATATGAGCACAGATGGATTTGGTGTGTGTAATGTTGGACCCACTGGTAAGAAAAACACCCTTTTTTCCACAAATAAAGACACTCACATAAAGTTGCTCATATTCAAACCTCACGTGACAAAGGTGGGTTGAGCGCACAGATCACAACATAAACTCCAAAAATGGCATTAAAATTGGAACCATCTGTGCGTAAATGACGCATTGCGCTCCGTGGCCTGGCTCTTTCTTTCATAGATGTTGGCATATAAAATAAATTTGCCTCACAAAACTCAATATTATAATATTCGTATGTCGGCTTAAAGTAGATAAAGCATCTGATCACTGAAACAAATCATCTGTTCAGCCGCCGCAGCAGGACGGAGAGAGGACACGGAGACATGTCCAGGTCGAGCTGTGCGAGAAATAAGAGGAAGAGGAAGAAAGAAAAGGAGGGAGACGAATTACATATCTTGTTAACTTCATCATGTGTGTTTATTTACTAGATATTTAATTTAATTTAATGTGGTTTCAGCTGTGTTGATTCGGTCAGGTTGTGTGTCCAAACGCGTGCCAAACGCGCTCATCAGATCAGATATAGATCAGAATATATCTATATAGATCTAAATATATGTGCTGACTCAGATTAATAGTTGTTTATGATTATTTATTGCACTGAAATGTTCCTGACACTGTGGAAACCTGCCGATGAGGCATCAGTGACGTATGCCGATACGCCGCCGGTCAACCAAAATACTACTAGACCAGCTGCGCTCTACCTGCACTGAAAGCTGACCAGGTTTGAATCGGCGAGCTTTCAGCGCACTTTACACGCCGGTGGCGAGCACGAAAATGTCACTGCGCCCGCTGATTCTGTCGACACCTCCCCCTGCCTTGCTACCACACCCAGCTTGGCGGATCTCGGTTCGCCTCCGTGCGCCTCAGTCCACGAAAATACCAAACTGGCTGTACACTGGGCTGCGCCAGACGAAAATACAACTGCGCGGGGCTCGCCGCCCTCCGTCGCCTCACCGGCGTACATGAAAATAGAGCCCCTGGAGTTTACATAACTTTGACATTTTCATACCAAACAGGTGGGGGGAAAAAGCATGATTTTGATAGAATTATTCATCTGTAGTTTCCTTTGCTTTTCACTTTTGAGGTCAAAGAAATAATCGGTTATTTTCATGGTTATTATTTGGCCCAATTACATCCAGTGGAAGAAAGGGAAAAGATCTTGTTGCACCTTTTTCTCCAGTTGAGTTGATACAGTCTAATCTGATCTCTGCATTCTCAGTATTTCTCTGGGAAAATTACAATAAAGAAGTGTTAATAATTTGATGACTTAAAACTTGGCCCACAGTCCCCTAATCGGCTTTACTGATAAATATTAGAGGTGCATGCCACACACACACACACGCACACACACACACACACACACACACACACACACAGAGGAGCCAAACTGACCCACATGCCTTGTGGGTAATTCACTTACTCATGACTTTTACCTTGTACAACCATCCCTTTGAGTAACTGGAAAAGCTAACCGTTACTGATTTTGGTTAGTTCAATTAGTTGGTCTTGTTATATTGACAACTGGCTCCAAACAGCACTTTGCACTGAGGATGACAAAGACATGGTCCTACGGGGAAGGCTTAGAAAGCTGGCTTACATATGGCAATGATCTGAGCAGCTCCCTTTGAGAGCTGGTTTGTATTTTGTGATGCATGATAAAATAAAATCAGGGCGGTCTTCTCTCCACACCCCTGAGCCACAGGCAGGAAAAGTTCAACAGACAAAAGGAGAAATGGTGCTTGATGGTCTTATCGGTAATTACAATTTTTTATTTGATATGTTTTAATAAAAAGGAATCATCTCTGAAAGAGGCATGCACACACATCGGTCATCAGTCACAACATTTCCACAAAAGGCCGTTTTAAAGACAGCCATGAGCCATGTTTGAACTGAGAGTGCAGTAAAGAAGTCAGCTGACCCTTCGCGGCTGCATCCCCTGATTTTTCACTGATTGTCATGTGGTTGTTTGTGTGTGTAATGTTACATTCCTTTCCATACCCCTGTATTATTTAATATCCTCTGATTCAATTCAGCATGAGTAATTCAGGGTTCCTGTCAGTTTTCCTGTTTCAGTGTCCTCTCATCAGAATTGACAAAAAACACTAGATAAGAGCTGTTTTACACTGAGGAGCGAGCCGTGGAGAAAGCTCTTCCACCATGAGAGACCGCTTGGATGAACTCCTGCAGAGGGCTCAGGAGTTTTCTGAGGACGCAGTTGAAAATACCAACCCTTTTTCAGGAGAGGTCGATGATGATGACTCCGGGGTGGCTGGGGTCATAGTGCCTCAGGCAGTCATGTTTGAAGAGGAACCAATCATTGAGAATTTCCTGTCTGAGGCTCAGCAAATCAGAGATGATATTGAAGTACTAGAAACAGAGGTAAACACATGCAGATGCGTAATGTTTATTGTTTGTTTCAAAGTTTTTGGAGCTCTTTTGATGCACAACACCCCAAAACTCTGATTGCTTCTGTTTCTGTTATGTCTTCCTTTCTGTTATTCTCCTCTTTTCAATCTTTTTATTGTGATAAACACCGAATCCAATTGGAAGAAGAAAAAAATACCGAGCTACTGTTTATAAGACATCCATCTGCATTCAGTTCATTGATTTAAATTCCTGTTTGGTACTAAAAGTAATTATGTGAATTCTCAACTGTGAACAGGTCCTTAAGTTTGGCCAACAGCAAAAGACCCTGGTGGCAACCATGCGTCGTTTTAGTGTGATGAAGAAAGAGAGCAGTATCACTCGGGACATTAAGCTCCAGGCTGAAAGCCTCCATCGACGTTTAGATGCTCTATCAAAACAAGTACAGAGAACCGAGGACCACCAAGGACCAAATGCTGTTACAACCAGAATACAGCAGTCCCAGCATGCAGCACTGTACCGCAAATTCCAGCAGGTGGGGAGAGAGATTTGATCAGTAATACCTATCATTATTTCCTTCAGTGTAATTCTCATATGCAAACTCTTGATACAGAAAGTATTTCATGTCTCTAAATTTCCCAGATTTAAGTCCAGTATAGTACATGAAATGAAATACAAATTACAAATTTTCCATGTTGAACCTTGCTTTATACTGTTAATCATGTTTTTTTTCTTTTTTAATAAGTGTTTGCAATACGTCAAACCTGTCTATAAATCAATGCTTGGTCTGATCCTGATGGTGGAAATGGGTCAGGGGAAGCAGAAGGAAGCATTAGCATCAGTATTTGCATTTAGCTTCGATTTCTCAGTTCACTTTCAAAACTGACTGAGTCAGATTCCACCCTCTGTCAATGGTATACTGTTCATTTCAAGTCGAGCTGATCAGGTTCAGGCTCTTTAACTCTCAGCTTCTCCTGCAAAGATCTCCTCTCAGATGGCGCTATTCTCAGTTTCTTAGCTGGTTTTCTTTTAGCATCTTGAAAATAGCTCTCTCCATGTTTACGTGTATGTAAATGGTACTTCAAGCAGCTCCTGTTTTTGTAGTATTGAGGAGACGAGACAGTGAATGTGCAACTTAAAACAAAGTCAATAAAGACCTGTTGAACCACAAATAACTGCCTACCCAAAACCAGAAATATGTGAGGGATAACCCACTATACAGACACAGAACATGTTTAACCTACAGTTTTATTGCAAATATTTTTTTCCTTACAATTTAACAATATTTGCCCAGATCTAAAAATAAATAAATAAATAAAAATAAATCTGTTATTTTGAACTAGTTTTTTAAAATCCCGAAATGGCGAGACTTCTTGAAGAAAGTAGTGAGATGGCGCCCTTGTACCATGGCGTCTTCTGTTGACCAGCTGCCTTTGAATTTATGTAAAAGACTTTAAACAGGATTTGAACACTGGCTGACTTAAAGGGATATTCCGGCGTAAAATTAATTTAGGGTCAAACACACCGCAACACTAAGTTAGACAACCCGTCGAGAGATGAATGTTGCCGACTACTTGCTTCTCTAGTTATACCAACTTTGGTAACGACCTCACGATAGTAATACACAGTGGTCTACGTCTCCACGTGCACACCTCAACCAAAAAGCTACTCTACTGTATAGCCACAAATGATGCTCAGAACAGCACCTAACGTCATCAACAGTACATATAAGGTACCAGCCATAATTCTAGCAATCAAACATCTTTTTAGCTTTGCCTGATTTCTTTAGTAAAGAGATGAAACACAACTCACCTAGGGGGTATTCCACGAAGCTGGCTAAAGAAGGCTGGGATATCGCCTGTAAGCATGGCTTGAATAAGCGGCCACTTAGCTGAGACTTGTTCCACTAACGAGGCTCAGCTGTTTTTCAGAGACGCTTATTCTAGCCAGGCTTATCCAAGCCGCGGCTATGCGCGCCTCTGTGGTACATTAAAAGCCCTGACGTATCAATTGTCGACATGATGAGATCATGGAGAAAAAGGGCAGAGTGGAGTCTTTCTCAGCGTCGGAGCAAACACTCCTCATGGAGTTGTACAAAGAGTACAAGGGAAAAATTAAAAAGAAGGTCGTGGTTAAGTATCGTGGACCGTTTAAATTCGTAAGTTATAGCCGACAAGTATTTTACAACCGATGCATGTCTTGATGCAGTCAGCCTGCTTGGCTGTCTAATTTTATTCCTCACTTCTGCATATGTACTGTAAACACTTTTTTTTTAAAACTTTTCATCTTGTGTATGTGCAGCTCACTCATACAGTCTGTCAGCCTCTGTGCAGCACCTTCGCAGCAAGCAGCGGCGCCTACAGCAGCAGGGGGCGCCGTTTTGACAAGAGTTAATACAAAACCGCTTTGCGGTGCAGATTTATTATTTTTATTATCTTTTTTCTTTCTTTTTTGGAAGTGCTCATGCCGCCCCCCATGAGTCATGACACAAATGCTGCCCTGGGCAGCTGCCCGGTTTGCCTGTGCCCAGAACCGCTATTGCACTGTAGGCATAATTCATGTTCTTGATGTGACAAATAGAGATCCATAATGGATTAGTATAGCAGCTACAGGTAAGACCTAAAACCAAAGTAGGCAAACTTAGACAAAAAGCAAAGAAAAACATGTATCTGGAGATGTCTTTTTTTTTTTTATTTTTTTTTTTAGGGATGATATTGGCACAGCGCCCATCATTTAAATAAGAGAGAAGACACACATGAGCTTGTACACAGAGTAGTCATTGTAGTGTGGCTGGTTCGTTGTGAGGACCCAGAAGCAGACACTGAGACTAAGATCAACTCAAAGTGAATTTTAATGTCCAAACTCAGGATTGAAATGCAAACGAGGATGTCCGGTTGGCTGGTTGTCGTGTGGGCTGGAGACACTGCAGGAAAAACCAGAGGAGACGGGAGTTATAGAACATGAAAAGAGTCACGAGGAGCAAAGTTCTGATACTGATACAAACGAGGTCGGCCAGGAGAAGCGTCTTTACCGCTAGGAAGGGTAGACAATACTCAGGCGCTGAGACTGAGGGCTGCAGGCTTCTTAAAGTGCCTTGATTGGAGATGTGGAGCAGGTGTGTGGTCTCACTCAGCCTCAGCGCCGGGGGAGGGGAGGAAGCTCTGGAAGAGAGTAAAGCCAGACCTGGCAAACAGGGAAACAAAGGAAGTCCAGCCAAAATAAAACAAGATGAGGAGGCGTCTCACCACAAGTCATGTCGTCATTTGCCATCACCTTTACATTATTATCATCATAATCAGAATGGACCACTGGTGAGAGGAAGGCTTTTTTTAATGGGGAATTGTTGCTGTTGTCGCCTTCAGTGTTTTGGATGAGATCGTTTGTGCTTTTATTCTGTTATGTGTTGACAGTAAATTGAGAGTCACAGAATAAAAGAAAGAAAATCAAATATTTCCAAATAATTACCGCTGACGGGATCGAACCCACAGAGCAGTGAAAAAAAACACATTTTACCTGCACTTCTCTTTACCCACTCAGCTACTGAATTTCTCTTTTTCTTTGAGGTTGGTGAAGTATTGGGCATGTCTGGATTCACATATTCCTATGTTGTTTTAAAAAGCTCTCAATTTATTTTTCCAAACAAGAGCATCATTTATTACATATAAAGATGAAATTACCGTGTGACATGCAGTTCACAAAGCGTCTTCTGGAAGCCCGTCGGACCTTCTCTGAGACGCAGCTATGGTTAGCTTGACTGTAAGCCAGCCTGGGACCAGGCTTGTCGCGCTGGCTAAGTTACCATGGTTACCAAGCCACGCTAGCCCTAAGCCTCGTTTGTGGAACCGAACTCTCACTAAAATTAGCCAAGCTAACTGAAATAAGCCAGGCTTTGAGCTATGCCAGCTTCGTGGAATACCCCCCTACTCTCTTCCAGCAGCCTTTTGTTTGTAGCGAGACCTCGGGCCGATCCATTACCACAGTGGGGTAACGCACCTCAAGGAGGAACAACGTGTGTCTAACTTGGTGTTATGGTGTGTTTGACTCAAACTTTAATTAACGCTGAAAGATTCCTTTAAGATTCAGACACAGTTTCAAGTTGGCCAACAGAAAATTCATTTTAAACCAAAAAAATATCTTTTGAAGCACAAAATTTCCATACAGCAGTGACAGTCATGTCTCTGAATATAACAAAGAGGCAGAAATGACAAAAACACAGTAACTTGCTGCCCACAAAACAAATAGATGAAACAGTAGTTGTGCAAGAATGAGCAAACAAAAGACACATACTAACTCACAGTTTGATCAGCTCGCTTTGCCATCTCTCTTTTTAATGCATGCATTTAGCTCTATTATATCAGTTTTATGGCTCTTAAACCTAAATGACAATGAAGTTAAAAACTAAAAAACCCTATATCTTCCATATTTTTTTTAAAATTTACCTCCCCCTCTCACATTTTATTCCCTCTTTTGCTGTGCTAATGTCCAGGTAATGCTACAGTATAATGAGGGTCTGCTGAGCAAGCAGGAGCGCTGTAAGCACTTCATTATCCGGCAGCTGGAGGTATCGGGGAGAGATGTGACGGAGGAGGAGGTGAATAACATGGTGGCCACAGGACAATGGGATGTCTTCAATGAGAACCTGCTGAATGATGCCAAAATCACACGTTCACAGCTGTCTGAGATTGAACAGCGACACAAGGTGAGGATGATAGCAAACACCCAGGGCTGTACCAAAATAAGCTCATAAAGGGGAGGTTTGTTTGATGGTCCTGAGGCCTCAGAGGCCACTGTTTGGCAACATTTTATAACTTTTACTAAAGATTCTTTCCTAAATTTCTGGTTTAACATGTACTTGTTCCTTCTATTCTTAGTGTGACACTTTAAAGGCCATAATTTCTTTGGTATTTACATACAATTCAGACATAGTTGATTGTAATACTATGTCCCTAATGTCCCTAAACTATGTCCCTAAAGCCGCATTCAGACCAGCCGCGACCTGACGCGACTTGGCGACGGCTCCCAATGCAAAGTCTATGGCCAGCCGCGACCTGACGCGACTTGGCGACCGCCGGCTTCCTGCGACGCGACCATGCGCGACCGGGCGACCGGTCGCCAAGGCGCGTCCCCGAGGTTGCGTCGCCGAGGTCGCAGGACGCCAAGTCGCGTCGCTCCCAAAGTTCAAATATTTGAACTTTGGGAGCGACTTCGTGCCGCGACAGCCAATCAGGGCTCTGCTGACGTCAACAAACCGGCGAAACAAGGAAGAGGAGAAGAAGAATCACAATGGAGGAGCAGTTAATCACATCCGTTAGCTACCACCCAGCTAACTGCCCCTGCTTGCTAGGCTACATGTTTCAACGTATGTGTGTGTGTGTCTTTGCAGTGGATGTGTGCCGCAAGCGGTGGAAGGGGCTTAGAGACGTTTATATGAGGGACAGACAGATAGACAGGCGTTCCGAAGCTGAGATGGAGCGCCTGTATTTCGTGTCCAGGCGGGAGATGCTGCTTCCCACCTGGGCGAGGAGGTCCTCGAACTGCGCCGTCGACACACGGAAGTACCGCTGGAAGCGACCGTCGTCCAGGCGGAGTTCCTGGAGCAAGCGGTGAAATTCACCCAGCTCCGTCCTCCTCCGGATGGTTTCATGCACCCATAAACGCCGGCGGCGTCTACTGCGGATGTACAGATATGCGGCAGCACTGATGAACTGAAAACTGAGCTAGTGACATGGATGACGTCACCGGCGACCAGACGCGACCTGCGACTGCAACTTTGGACCCGGTGTGAACACACCAGAGCACCACGCGACGCGACCTGACCGACCAACGCGACGCGACGCGACCTGGTCGCGTTTGGTCTGAACGCGGCTTTATGCTCATGAGTCTTCCTCAGTTTGTACATATGTCATACATTGTCAGAAGATGGTTACTTTAGAAATTAATAAAAAAAAATATATATATGCCATTCTTCAAATCTTTGAATACTAGGATTCATGCATGCTTTAAACAATTCATCAGCTGTTTTTGGCCCTTTGTTTGGAAGGGAGGCATACACTGAGATGTGCAGATTTTTTAAGCATGCTCGGTAGTTTTCAAGTAAGAGCCTGGGAGCACTGTCACCAGTTACTCTGTCATCCTGCAGTTATTGTTCCATTTACATGCTCCTTAATGTGATGTTTATGGTTTCTTCTTTTCAGTTCTTTCTGCCCAAAAATTCTGTGTGATGTTCTTTCTGCACTCAAGATAAATAACTCATGTTTGTTGCTTATGGTTAATGCATCTCCTTTTTCAAAAGCATACTTATGTCAACTCTTTTGCTGTTACTATTTAATTGCACATTTTAATTTTTTATTCTTGCATGTGTTGCCTAAAATCCTTACAATATGGTAAATTCATGTATAAGGTGCTAAAAACTGTTACCATTACTCTGGTTTGTCATGCAAAACAGGTAGTGTGCTGGTCAGTCAGTATGTTTACATGCACAGATAAGTTTAACTATGGTTATAGCTTGGTTAGGTGATTTAATTGGACCACTGTCTTTATCTCAGTCTAACAACACTGATCAGGAATCAAATTATCAACAGAGGCATATTTGCCTTTGCTGCAACAGGTTGTGACATGCACCTTTGCAGCTAGCTACTATTAGGTTGTTTCCTGGTAGACATATTACTAGCAAAACTAACGTAAACTAACAAGGTATTATTCACCATCCAGCCTTTTAGCATCGAATCTGTGCTTTTCCCATTCCCAGCTCAACACTCTGCAGTATGAACAGAACACTTAGGCCATAAGCATGGAGGATTGATCCCCAGGTGTTATGCAGGTGTGTTAGTTTGACGATGAGGACTGTGATTATGTGCAATTCCAGTCATGCTTAAATGTTTAATTGTCTTTTAAAAGTCCAGTTTCAGCTGGCCTAGGGCAATGAAACAATTTGATGAACAGCATTTAGACATACAAGATGAGTCTGCAATGGACCAAAAATATTTATTTGGAGAAAGAGCTGCTAATTCAGAAAAGATGTGCATGTATCAAAACTTATCAAAACTTTAAAAAAACTTTAAAAAAGCATTTTGAGGAACATGCTGCATATACTTCTTCTACTACTGCTACTACTACTACCACTATTAATTATAACAACAACAATAATAATAATAATAATAATAATAATAATAATAATAATAATGATAATAATAATAATAAAAACTGTAGTAATATATTATTGTTATTATTATTATTATTATTATTATATCTCATCATCATCAACATCATAATAATAATTAGCCTTCTGTCTCGAAGGAGGCTGCTTTTGCACAGTACTTTGTTCAATTCTTTCTCCAGGTCCTGTTGTTCACATGCTTAAGTGTCTTTGGACAGGATCCTGACCTCAAACTCCCTTCAGGGTAGTCGCATACTACTACTACTACATACTGTGAATGGGCTTAGTACTGAGCGGTGCTTTGCATGGAAGCCTCTGCAATTAATGTGTGAGTGCGCTGTGAGTGAGCGAATATGATATGTCATGTAAAAGTGGTCTGAGTGGTCAGATGAGCAGAAATTATGTTCTATAATACAAGGCCTGTCTTCATTTTACATTTTAGCCATGCTAAATCCATTCTTCGAAGTGTGAGAGAAAGGTATGTGTTATTTCAGGTCATGTGTGCAGTGACCCAGCTGTGTTCAGTTATATCATTCTTTCATTTTGATTTCCCACTCTGAAGGAGTCAGGAGCTGCGTCCGAATTGCCAAGTAGTAGTCGAAGTAGTAGTCGAAGTAGTATCTAGCATGTCCGAATTGGCCACCGGAGCGAGTAGCATGCTACTTCAGATACTACTTCAGATGCTAGACACGCCCACATTGTAGGTTGGCCTCGGTGCATCCTACGGGCATGCTACTGACCCAAAATGCACCGCGGGCTTCTTCTTCGTCCTCTTAAAAGTTGTAGAAGCGCATGTGATGCTAGCGCCACCAGCTGCTCTGCCTATTTAAAAGTGTCGCGAACGCCGGCTGGCCACAGCAGCGCGCACCATGTCGGAGCAGCAGCAGCAGCAGGCGGGACAGCAGCAGTACAGATGTAAGTTTCATGTAACTTCACACACTGTCCTAAAAAATGTGCGGTTGTATCTCTTTGTCATGTCATGGTGTCATATTTGCCCAAGTAATCATTTTATGAGCAAGTGGCGACATCATGGAGGTAAAGCTCACTTATTCCATCATTAAACTGCACAGCTGCAGTACTACAGCCAGGCCCGCAGATGAGGGGCTTCAGTTACCACTGTCTGCACGGGCGCAGTACCTACTCTCTGCCTGCGGGGGTCGTCTTTCCCCACCGCTCGTCTAGTGTGTCCGAATTGGGCCAACGTGTTTAGTATGTAGGAGTAGGATCTAGCAGTAGCACGTAGCAGTAGCATGTAGTATCCGAGCGGGCAGTTCGGACGCAGCATTTGACTCTTCTCCATCATACTAATCCAGTTCCACCTCTCTACCAACAGGAGCTCTTGAACCTTGAGAACAATATAAAGGAGCTGAGAGACCTGTTCATGGACATTTTCATGCTGGTGGAGGAGCAAGGAGCCTACATTGAACACATCCAGACCAATGTAGAGAGGACACAGGATTATGTGGCTGCATGTAATGAGAAATTCAAGTTGGCAGCCAGATACAAAAAGAAGAACCCACTAAGACAACTGTGCTGCTGCTGCTGCCCTCCATGGAGATGCTGCTTATAGGACATGTGCATGATTACCATGGCTGTCTTACGAAACAGGGTTTCAAAAACCTCAGTTACCTGATAGGTGGGTGGAGTGGATTGAAGACGCATTAAAGTGGAGGTTATGGGTCTGCAGGTTTTGAACAGTGCAGTGGTGAAGACAGATTCACCAGAGCATGGAAAACAATTAGGGGGAAAGGCCAGAATTGGTATTTGAGGCACTTGTTTCTTTCAAGAGGATGTGGAGGACTGCTATTGAAAGAGACAGTTCACTGAGTGCTACTCACCAACACTGCTGTTTATTGGAGACCTTCACTGTCATCTGACAGAGGTCACAAACAAGGCGAGTGCTCTGCCCCTGCCACTGCCGCATCAGCAACACTGATATTTCACCCGTTTTTCAAAAGACTCTTTTTCCTGCTGCTACAGAAGCTGGAGTTGATGATCATTTATTTTTTATACACCGTACGTGCACTTTGAGACTGTTTTTCTGTTTTCCTTTCACTTCAAGACAAATTTCACAAAGTGGAGACAGAATGTTTTTCTCCATGATTTTAAGACTTTACTCTGCATTTCATTTTGGACCACACGAAAAAAGGAGAGCTGCCTTAACAATTACTCATTAGTAGCATTTGCATTTCAAAGTACGATCATGTTCAGTGAGGAAAATATTATTCCTTTATTCCATTTCTCAAAAGCTGGGATTCAAGAGAAACTTTGAATAACAAGCCTTGATCAAAATGTTCTTTCAAGGAAGAAAACTGTAAAAAAAACGATTAATAATTAAATAATTAAATGAGTAGTAAGATGGTAGTTTTGAAGTCATGCATTTCAGGAAGTATCTGATTCTCAGTGTACTTTGTGCTTTGTACTAGAATTTCAGTGTCCGGTTCAGTGTTGTAGTATCTGAGTCTATATTTCCAGAACTCTTGACCCATCTGGACCTCAGCCCTCATAACCCTGACTCACACTGAAACTGTTTTGTTATGTTTGTTCATTTTTTTTAAAAATTAATATATAAAGTCCTGGTTATTTATTTTGATTCGAGGGAGGGCTGGAAGTGTGTTCACCCGTATGCGCATTTACACAGCCTGTTCAGTAATAGCTCCTGGCCTTGAGAAATGGCATGAATTGCGGGTTTTCCTCTCTAAAATTTTGAGCCTAATGCAAACAAGGGCCATACGACAAGTTTAATATGTGAAAGAACAATTCAGGCAAACATGGGCACAAGCTTAAACTTTGGACTGACATCTGTCCAGGATGCAGCCTGAACAGTAAAGGAGATAAGTAAGACTGTTGATTTTGTTGCTGTTTGTGAGAAAGCAGTGATGTGAGAAGTTAAAACAACTCAACCACTGGGTCCAAGCTGTTTGGTTTGTTGAAATTCTTACTAACAGAGGGTTAGCAGCAGGTGTTTTTGAGATTATTTATCACCTGCAGTGATCCCACAAAAGTAGAAACCATGAGTACATCCTACTGAGAGAAGTGCTGAGGGCTTTTACATGGACACACAACACTGTAACTTTAATGATCATCTCAGTTTGTGAGACATTAACTGGATCTGTCAGTAACTAATGTTGATAAAAGGAAGAAAAACTGAGAATATGCTGTATGAGTGCTCAGGAGACTCACACCTGTCAACTTGGGTTTAAAACACCAGCTCGTGTCCCTCCTTGGATTAGGACTAAGACAGTTGTGGATCAGTAGTTCATTCCCAGAGTTAAAACCACCTGTTCTTGACTTGTCTTGACTTTCAGGCAGAGGTGCTCTCCTCCAGTTTCTGACTGACAGCAACAGTGATCTTCTTTAGTCAGTCAGTGACCTGTAGTATCTGGTGTACAGTACAAAATACAGGTGATCCGGGTGTGCACCAGCCAGACTGGAAAATCCTGTTTGTCTGCTATTCCAGGTACGCTTGACGGTGTTGTTTCCCCCAGGAACAGGGTGTGTTCAGGACCGTTAACTCCAAACACAAAAGTAAAAGGATATGGGATGTGGGAAACAGTTTGATTTGTCATACAAAAAAAACAAAAAAAAAACAGCTGAGCATTTGAACCTAGTTTGATATAATACTGAAGTGACTAACAGATGAACTAAAACAACATTCAGAGGTATAGTGAGGTACGTAGTTGCCACTGCAGGCTTTGACATGAGACACACTGAAAAAACACACTTTCCATCAGTATGGTGCTTTATATAGATTAACTCTTATTAACACGGCTCCCTTGTGTCTGGCAGTGAACCAGGATGACATGTGTTAGTGCTGGATCTTATCTCCTCTGTTGTATATCAGTCTCACTCTGATTGGAGTGACATTTCAGAATCAAGACGTAAATGCGTCAAATATGTAAATGTGGGTATGTAAATCAAATAACAATACATTGTAATGCAGCACAGCAGCACACTCTCTGCCAGCCCTAGTTAGGACAAATGAGGTAGTGCTGCAAATTGGAGGGCTCTTGAACAGCAACAATGCCATCCAGTGTTCAGTGAGGTAATTGCCAGTTAAAAAAGACCTAATGTTGGAGACTTTAGAGGGATTTTATCACACACACGTATGAGCGTTGCAAGTGTTACATGCAAACACAGAATCACAAAACAAGGAGACATCAAAAATATGAAAATAAAGATATTGAATTATTTGGTAAATTATTTGGAACTGTTAGAAAATTCTTTTGGTCATCCTAGCTCTAAGCAAAGGGATAATTCATCACAATTCAAAGATTACGTTTTTTTAAGATACAGACACAGCTCAGCTTGCCTCCAAGCAAAAAGTCACTTCTGCTTGACATAAAGATGAAAATATCATGAAATAAAATAGGTGATAGATACAATAAAGATTTTATTTTTTTGTAAACGGATCCTTTTGCGCTTTATTTTTCAATGTCTACAAAACCATGGATGAAGCCACAGCAGAGAGCAAACCCTGTGTCTGATCCATCATGACAGGTGGAAAGGCAGCTCGATGAGAACAAAACTCCAAAATGAAGTCCAGTAGACTTTCTTTAAATGAACTTAAAGTGGATCAGGACGGAGCTGGGAGTCTTGGATGACCTAAGAGAAGCCTCAGGGGGTAAATACTAGCCGTCCTTGAGAACACCAGGCCAGACTGGAGACTGCAGAGTGCTCAGTTCAGAAACCTTTAACGTCTGACCCTGAGGCAGGTCAGCCGGAGTCACCCACATTTCACCTCTCCATTTCACCCACAACCTCCTCTCTCTCTGTCTCTGTCTCTGTCCTTACTTTCTTTCCCAGCAGCAGCTTCCCTGACATTCAAGCCTTTCTGCTCTCTGGGAGCTGTCCTGTCCTACAACAGTCTTGTAATGTTTATAGGTTCCACGGTGGATTTATCTTGTTTACCCCCAGCTGCAAAGTTGTTATCCCATATTTCATCTGAAACCACCTTGCCCGGAGCCAATCAGGAGTTTGTCCCGGGTCCTTGGCTAGATAGATTTGACATTTTACTCTTAGATCATTTCGGGTTTTTTTTTTGTTTTTTCAATAGCGATTCTACCAACTCTGCAGACACAGACTCTGTAAGGTAGCTCTGAAAGTTAACTGTCTAAAACATTAACTTGCTTCAATGTTTCCTGAGTGTCTCTTTCTTTTTTCAGACAAAGTACATCGATCTGTGATTTACTGATGATGCACATGTGTTCTTGTTGCTGAGTGTGTCTGACAGAGATGTGGTGACGTCTGTGTGTTTTTGATATTTCTTTTATCTACCCTGTCACTCAGCAGTGTGATCCCAGAGACACTCTCCAAACGTCTGAACACCATCAAAGCAGCCTTCCTGAGAGTAACAGCAGCTGTGGTTATAGAGAGCTGACATTACTTTACTGCCTGGTTTTATCACTCCCATCAAAACCTGAACACAGAGATATTAGGACCCCCAGAAAGTGATAAATCACAAAGAGGGTGAACAGTGAGCCTGACAGCAGCCTTGGGAGCAGGAATACTCAGCAGTAATACAAAGGCTACATAGATGCATGTAGAGTACTGGATATACACAATATAAACACCACACCATGACTCATCCCCCTATATTCAACGGCAGGAGCCGTGTAGATGCTGTAATGTTTGATTCTAGCTCCCAAAGTTTGAATTCAAGATAATCTGAGTCAAAAAGACAACTTGTTACACCTGAAAAAGTGAAACCCTGAGTCTTTTTTATAACAGCAACTGTGAGCTTTGGATATAAAAACATGTTTGATTCGGCTCGGAAACCATGTACTGTCTATGCTGTCAATGATATCAAAGACTAGAGAAGTCCACTGAAGGACCCTGAGTGTGATTTTGAAACAGATTTTTGTTTCCATGCAACTTTTTTCAAGATCACTTTTTGCAGGATGCAAAGTGACTCAATAAATTCATTTGCAAGCACTGAAAATAACACATTTAACTTGATGACTCAGTTTGACCACCATTACCAAAGCTGGTCAGATGGACTAGTTTGGCCTAACCTGACATGATATGAGCTCTGAGGTGGCTTTAAATGTTTGAAAGATGTAAATATGCACAAAGTTAAACTCTTTTGATGTACTCACATGTCAACCTAAATATGAAATGTTGTTCATAGTCATTTTGCTCTGGGATCTTATTTAGTCCTGGCTGTAGAGATTTTAAAACCAAATTTCAGCAGGTGATATGTATCTGTTTGCTCATCCTGCTCCAGTGTCTGCTACAAGTATCAAACATTAGGACAGAAAAAAAAAAACATGACGAAAAAACAAACTTTTGATGTTTGCTAAACTTTACTAGCAGGTTCAGTCTACACAGGGTCAGTTACAGGTGAGTGCTGAATTTGTACTCAGCATTTTCATGGGAAATCTGATCCAAACAAAACATCAGCATAAAACAGAACTAGTCTTGTTACAGATAATCTCGCTTTACTTTGTGATGCAGGTATAAGAATAAGAGTGAGACTATTTCAAAGTCAGCTCTATAATTTGCAAAGTACATTTAAGCTTCTAATCCCAAATATAATGGTTTCTAAAGCTTCAAAGTTTTTCTTTGAGTGTTTTCAGACAGTTCCAAGAACAATTATCAGCTTGGCGTAAATAGCACAGTAGAATTAAGAAAAGAAAAAAAGTCTTCAGTGTTAAACAAAATCTAAACAAATACTAGATCTTTCCTTTTTTCTATTTTATTTTATTTTATTTTTGGAGTTGCTTAATGTACATACAGAAGGGGATATAACCAAAAGTGCAAAAGTATATGCAATATTTGACAGTGATGGATGATGTGTATAGTAGCACAAAAACTGTAATAAACTTTAGGATGTTATTAGCGTCTTTGAACTTGCTGTCATGTAAAAAATACGACACATCCAGTCAGATACCAACCCCATGGGTCCTGAATCAAGAATTGTTCAAACTCTGCAGTCTTTTCAGAAAGTTCTGTTGATCAGAGTAAGACTTAAAAAGCTCTTATTTTGCCAATGGATGTGTCAAAGCTCGCAAAGCCTGGAGCTTTTTGCTATTTTTAACTTCTTGTAAACAGTATTTGCAGCTCTGACTGTGCTATTCATGTGAGGACTCTTTTAATAACAGGCTGCTTAAGAGTGAAAGGTAAACCACTGTCTGTCTGTCTGTCTCTAGTCCTGGTTTTGTAAACCAGTTAATGACAAAAGTTGAGCGTTATTTATTACCTATCGCAGGACAAATGTTCAGGCTTAAATATTGTGTCAGAGTGATGGATGAGCTTCAGTAATAAGAGCTCTGGGAAGGTCCCTGCATGTTTAACGTGTGTAAGCCATCTGTGGCGATCCCATGCAGATCGAGTGAGTGGTAATAGACACATATGTGTGGAGCTGCTACACTGACTTTAAAGATGTTTTCATCTCTTTTTGACAGGGCGGATGGATGAATGAACACTGTGTTTAATTCTCAGCACATGTGTAACTGGTGTAAAACAGAGGGGAGCATTTTAAAGGTCTGTGTCAGCTCACCGTCACACTGTGGCCACTGTTCTGTGGGAACGAGCTAATTATTCCTTTTTTTTTACAGAATAACCCAGACCTCCCTGGTCATCTATCAGTTTGGACAGGTCATCAATTTATCTATTTCTTTTATTTGTACTGTGTTTACCTGTGATAACTTATTATCTAGATTGAATAATTAGGTGGGTCTCTATTTCTTGCCTCTGCCCTGGTTCAAACATGCTGTGTCTTTCTGATTAGATGATGAAGGATGTAAAACAACACATGAGAAGATGTGCCGACACTCACAGAAGAAGTGATGCAGACTGCTGCAGCTGCATCCCCAAAGGCAAACCTGCTATCATACTGCCAATCACATCACAGAAACAGATTGAACCCACAGCCTGCAATGCTTTCCTTCTGAAAAATAAACACCAGATTTAAGTTTTTTTCTGATCTGAAGAGATGAAAACTCTTGTGATCTTGGCCTCTTATTCAACATCAGCATGCAAGATCTGAAGGTAGATTTGAACGATTAAAACTTCAAAACCTCAGCCTTCCAGTTGAGTACAGTACATTACACTGACTTTGTTGTCAGTCTTAGGCACTTAGCTGTAGCTGTAAATCACATTCTCTATTTCTGTCTCATTTCTAATGCAGCTGCTTTGAAAGAAGACAAAATTAAATAACTAATAATTAGTTTCCTCTCAATGACCCTCAGGGAGGGAGGAATGACCAGCAGAGGGAGCTGATATCCAAGTATTCCTCTAATTCATCTGTTTCAGCTCAAGCTGCTGAGTTACTTACCCTAAAAGTAACAGTAAACTTCTCCAGGGTTTACACACACAGAGTGAATATTTTAGCTGTAAAAGGTCTTACACAGAGCAAACTTGACCTGCATTCAGAGCCCCACCTACGTGTTTTTACTTCACCCTCCACAGCAGCTCTCTCAGCTCTTCAGTATTCAGTATTGATAAATGTTCCCAACAATAGAAGCTGAACAGTGGGAGGGCCGTTCAGGGCACAGCTGACGCACATGTCAGGACAGAGGAGAGGTGAAAATGAAGTGAGACAGGGGTGAATAAAACATGTCTCTGAGGACATTGCCTCATTTCACCGCTCTTTAGAAACTGTGAGCCTCCCTGATGGTTAATCCTGTCACACACACACACACACACACACACACACACACACACACACACACACACACACACACACACACACACACTTGGACATGTGCAAACATACACTAATATCTCTCTAAGGGAAGAACCTGCTCTTCTACATATCCTCTGTTTTCACTGCAGGTCATCCCTTTGCCCTTGTAAAATAGCACCAAAGCTATTAAGACCAATTGAGCTGATGTTGTCTCGGTGGAGTCCAGTCTATGTAACAAGTAATCTGATCCCGACTCTACGCTCCACTCTACCTTGTCATCAAACTCTACAAAAATTGATTAGATGGCTCCCTAAGCTTCTTAATGTTATTTACTCTATTGGATAACTGTCTGTGCAGGGGAAACAGTTGTGTGGTCCAGTGCAGAAGCTGTAAGTGCATTCAACACAATTTCTGCCTTCATAAACCAAAGTGGAGAGCTGAGTGTCTGGTCTGCAGTCCAGATGAAGTGTTCTGCTGACATGAAGATAAACTGTGTTCATGTGCATATACAAAAACAGTCTACAGATACATTAACTATGTCACCTTTTTCATAAATGATCATGGATTTGGTGGTAACGCCTGAGACACACTTATCAAACAGTGGCCACTTGACTTGGCCATAATAAAAATTAAAATCAGGTGTTTTTTTTTTTTTTTTTTTCCCCCCAAACTTACAGTAAATTTGTAGCCTGATACAATGGAGTATTAGGGCCACATTAAAGTAATTAATTTACAAAAATAAAGTAATTACTTATGAGAATAAAGTCGTAATAAAATAATTACTTACAGGAATAAAGTTGTGGCAAAGTATTTACTTAGGAGAATAAAGTAATTACTTACAAAAAATAAAGTTGTAGCAAAGTATTCAATTACAAGAAAAAGTCCTTATATTCTAAACTGAAGTTTAAGATGAGAGTTGTTGAAATGAGAGCCAAGGAGTATTTTGTAAAAATATACTTCAGTATAGGTTTCTCAAACATTGATATTTTGGCAAATCAGCACCACATTATCACAAGTATTACAATGATTTTATAATGACTTTATTCTCATAAGTATGTAATGATTTTATTATGACTTTTGTCTTGTTAGTAATTATTTTATTACTACTTTATTCTCGTAACTTATTACTTTATTACAACTTAATTCTCGTTATTAATGATTTAATCTCGTAAATTAACAACTTTAATCACAAAGCCTCCCTTTTTTTTCTTAATGTGGCCCTAATACTCTGTCGTAGCCTGAAAATCTGACAAAATTGTAAAATAATAATAATAATAACAACAACAACAACAACAACAACAACAAAAACAATAATAATAATAATAATAATAATAATAAAAATCTTGTGGGGTCTTTTTAAGCTACTTTGTTCCCACAATTGATAATACTGATTTAACATCTTTTTGCTAAGAAATAACATGTGGGATGTATTTAAAGAGAACAACAGTAAATGTCATAAAACATCACTGTCTCTGCGTTCAGAGTCACACAGTTCTGTTACACTTAGAGAAAACAGCTGTGATTTTAGTGACTCCTGCATCTGTTGTATCTGCTTGTACCATCAATCTGCTGAAGTCAGGATGTATTGTCTATCTGTCAAATCTCATTTGGTTTGAATAAGGGAGGAGGGCGGTCTGAGTAAACTGAAAAGCAGAATAAAACAGCATATCCGTTGTATAGTGTTCTTCAAAAAGTCCTACCACTCATTATTTTTGTGGAAATCAAAGAAAACAGTGTAAAAGAAAAAAACTAACAAAAAAAAAAACACATCATGTCACATTATGTGTCTTTGCTTTGAGCCCTTTAAGGTAGTGATTGGACTCTCCACTATGTACAGCATCGCCCCAAATATAAAAGTTAGATACACAATTAATAATTATCTCTTTTTCCTTGAAGCTCCAACCTTTTTTTATTTTTTTTTATTTTTTAGACTTGTTCAAATAGACTGACAAACAAGACCATCAGCAACAAGTCTGGTGAATTTTGTACTGTCAATTTTAAAGTCTGAAACCAGTGTGAGGGGGGTCAAACAAGTAGTTAAAGGAAATGTCACTGTCTATATCTGCTGACAAACTTCTATTTCTACTTATCTATAAAACAAGCGTCCCCCTCATGACTGAGGCCAATCTTCACTTAAAACTGCTGTACCAGGAGGATGAGAGATGTAGACATGCTGGAACAAAGTGGCTCAGAAGTATTCAACAACTGAGACAGAGCTCTGATACTGAGTTTCAGATAACAGTTACCAGTGCAGTAGAGGCATGAGACAACTATTGTTTAACTATAATACTGTGTCACAGAGTGTTATGCTCAAAGTTGACAGACTAAAAAAGCCATCTCATTCAGAGAAAATCTTACTGTGGTCCTCAAAGTGTTGGCCTCCAGGAAACTTAGAGGAGAGTATGTGAGTTTTTGACTTATTGAAGGTTTGTTTAAACCAGAGCCTCTATCCAGTTGAAATCCTTCACTATAGAGGCTACACACTTGACTTTTGACAAGGATGGATGCCTAATGACGAATAAAACACATTTTCTTTTGTTTTTTTTAAATAAAAAAATAAAAATACAAAAAGTGTCCTGTAAAAATACTTTTTTTTATCTTAGATTAAATCACTTTAAAATGTATCAAAAAGACAGCACACCTCATTCAATTGAACCTGTTTCTATTGCACTCCTCCAGAGTTCTTCAGCCTGTTTGTGTGTTTGTACAGAGTTTACAGTACAGACTTACAATGTTTGCTCTGGAGCTTCATCCATCTATCCAATGATTTGTCTGTCTCATTGATATCATCCCAGTTCTCTATCAAAACAATCTGGCTTTCCACACGGTACCTGAAGGACTCCACAGAAGCTTTTCCACTGGCTGACCGACCAAGTATAATGAGGCAACGCTCAAAGTAGTCTCCCCCAAATTAAAAGCAGTGAATTGGCAACAGCTTGAAGACAAACCATGAAGCCCTCTCTAAACAAACATTGATTGATACGATTATAATCTCCTCCATGACTTCTTTTTTTACTGATGAAATATGCAGAGCGGCTCCAGAGAGGGAGCTGAGCAGCCAACAATCATAAATGTCACTGGGTTATGGATTACAGTGGTCTCGCCCCGGTCCAGGACTCACCTCAGAGATTGCATAAAGCTCCTGTCTCCTGGTCAAGCCCTCATTAGGTCCTTTGCCCTCTGTCTGACAATGCTTGGCAAGTGTCTTCATAAATGTGTGTGTGTGTGTGTGTGTGTGTGTGTGTGTGTGTGTGTGTGTGTGTGTGTGTGTGTGTGTGTGTGTGTGTGTGTGTGTGCTTGTCTACATTTATAAGGTCAGCCCAGTCCAGCTCAGTGATTATGACACAAACACACATAAAGATAAAGTGCAGCATTTAGGATGATTTACAGGACACAAGACCAGGTTCGTGTGAAACATGTCGTATTGGAGGCAAAGGGTATTATTTATTTTTCCCAGTTAAGTTTCTTATCTCCTTACAACATAATCAAGACTCAGTTTACTCCCAAACCTGATTTTAAACCAACAGATTTTAAACCCAAAACTAACAAAGGTTGGTTTTCAAAAAGTGATCCAAAATCAACAGAAATGTTGATGCCTGATTAAGAAAATAAAGAAAGAATATCTAAACCTCCAAAGTTTAAATGACCTGTAAAATTATACTCCCTCAGATTGATCTGGTGGAAATATTGCAGGTTTCTCTGTAATATTGCTATATAAATAAATTAATAAATACAATTATATATATATACATATACACACACACACACACATATATATATATATATATATATATATATATATATATATATATACATATATATATATATATATTTGCTATAAAGATCTTTAACAGGGGGCTTTACTGCCTTGTAACAGAGCATTTGAACCTGACTCCCAGATAACCACATAATAAAATGATCAACATGCAATCATAATGTTAAAGTTTTATCACAATCCTATTAAAATGTGTTTTTTAGATATAGGTACTGCTTTTGTTTGCTCACTTTATGTATTTTATATGACCTCAACCATTATTTTCTTCGCTCCTCAAAGGGGACATCAGCTGAAAAGAAATACCATTCACTTTCCTTTGCTTAATGCTTACCATTTTCCAGATATTGAACAGCCTCTAGTGTCTGTTTAAACAGAGTGTATTCAGAGGAGATACTGGACTTCACCCTGAAAATGACTCCTAACACTTTACAGATATTCACTAACCCCAGCGCTGGTAATTGAAGTAGGAAAAAAAGAGTAATCATGAATAAATTTCCTATCATCCACATGGCCAAGATATTCTATTTACAACCATTTCTTTGGGTCTTTATACCCAGTTAATGAGATTTCAAATACATGTGAAGCGAACGGCATTTAAATTGCTATTCAGTCTGGAGGCATGGCACTGGAAAAGGGAGGGCCTCCACCGGATGACAGAGGAGCTATTACCGGACCGGCTTCATACAGAGAACAGAGCAGGTCTGGGATCTGCAGTAGTGATTGGTGCTGGTGAGGACTTTAGAGACTTTTAATCTGAGAGAAAAGAGGAGACACATGGAAGGATGGCAAAACAGAGGAGGTGAGGAGGTGTGTTTGAGAGTGCTTCCAGAGCTTTTAATCATTCTGTAACACACACTTACAGTCAGGTTTATTCCTCTCAGTGTCCTGTGTGCTTATATGTGAACAATAGGAACTTGACCTCACAGTCTGTGTACTATCGGCTTTTCTTAACATGCACATGGTGAGTCTACTTGCGTGAGTTCAGAGTATGATCTTGTATATGCTTTTAAATGACAGAACATGAAGACACCACAAATATCAGCAGCCCTCCTTTTCTAACACAACTGAAATCATCACATTTATGATAACTAGTTATTTTTATATAGTTTCACATTATTCCTAAAGCTGGAGCCAGAGACAGAGACATGCATCTCCCTCCTCTCTATCACAACACATTTAGTCCTTGCGAAGTGAAGCGCACCAGAGGACATGTGCACGCAATCCTCTCAGGCCCCTCTCTCAGCTGGGTGACAAAGACCACCATAGGAATGAATAGTGATGAGCCAGAGATCATGTCGAGGTTCCCGAAGACTCCAAAAAAGTCTGATAGAGTACCAGATGAGTGAGAGATAGAGATGCAGAGGGAAAGAGGGGGAGGGGAGGAGAGACAGAGACAGAGTGTGAGGCAATCAAGGCTGTGTCTAAGATCTGAAGGGTGAGGGCTTCGGGGTCCATCCACAGGGGACCTGCCGATTGCTGACAGCACCCTCCATGACATCCCATTAGATTTCAACAGGGACTGGAAGATTAAAAGAATCAGAAGATTTCTAGAGTCAGTGTCAGGACATAATTCCGCTATAGAAATCATTTTTAAAATCTAGTTTGGAAATATTCTACTTTGATTTGCCCAACTTCTCAGTCTTTTATTTTTTTTTTTTCTCAATAATCTGGATCCTAACACTGGTATCATATAAGGTTCTAGACCAGATAAAGTATAGGGATTTGTCTCAAAAATCATGTAGCACAACAAGCTTAGTATGACCAGCAATGAGCAGGCTAGAGTTAGCTTTACTGAAATATAATTAAAAAAAAATCTGTATTTATTTGCCACCTTAAAGCACACTCTTACAGGGGCTGAATGTAATGGGTCTGATCAAAAACACACAAGAGCCACTGTTTCAAAATAATGTAGGATTTAGTATTTTTGTTATACAAGTGCAATCCTAGTGTACTGATATCGTACATGTGCATTAGTGATTCAACTCTGAAGTGTTTTTTTTTATTTCTACAGAGCTTGCATGTTGATAATGAGTTAAAAAAAAGAAAGATTTTCTTTAAATCAGCTTTTATTACAGTATGTTGCAAGAAGTACCCTCATTTAACTAATAGTTTAGTACACTTTGAATAGATAATAACAGCTTCTGAACAAAGATATTCATAGTGTATGATTTGGTTTCAACGGGCTATCACAAATTAGTATTTAGTCCCATATTTAGTCCAAATAAATAAATAAATATTCAAATATTTTTTCACAAAGTGGTTCAAATAGACTGTTTTTGATAACCATACCTGCGTTTTTTTCTGGCCTCCTGACCTTTCAAAGCTCTTTTAAATAACTCTCTTAGTCACGCTGAAGTCTTTCACAGATGGCGAGGACTGCTGTGTAAAGTTCCCTTTAGTATTAACCAATCACATTCACAGTGAGACCGTTAGATTTAACCCCTAACCCTCCAATTAAGACAAAGCCAGCTCCCCTACTGAGTCATACCAGCTTTTTTCAGTGGTACATGCTCTGCTGTACTCATGTTATTTTTTTCTTTTTGTTGTCTCAGCTTGTACGACATCCAGTTCCTCTCCACCACTTAACATGAATCACTCCAGGTCCCCCTGATGAAACTAATACCTGAGGGAAAAAAAACAACACGTGGACATCAGCCCATGACATCAAAATGACACAGCTGCCACAGTTGTGCTTCTAAAATTTCTGATCTGAATAGCACTCATAAATACTCACTGGACATTTCATCTTTTGGACAGCTGGTTTTCTGCTGCAGCTACATTCCTCCGTAATAGTTTTAAGGGCTACGAGTGCTTTTCCTCACAATGGATGTCAGGAATCAGGTACTGGTCTCATCCATCTTGTCAGGAATCCCACAGTGAAGGGAAAACACTGCGCAGTCAAGACATTTATTGTACTCCTGGCCAGAAGGTTGTGCAGTCAACGGTAACTGTTGACCTTAAACAGATGATATTGATCCAGAGTTTAGGTTCATTCACAGAAAATCTCTCATGCCACAAAATGCACAATTTTATCCTTTAACTTGGGCAATTTCAGATAGGGGAGAGGGATTTCAGGACACTTTCATGAGTAATTTAGCTACTGCAATATCAATTTAGAAAGGCACAGGCAAACAGATAATTATCAGGCAAGGTTTCCCCCTGAATAAGTTCAACATAAAAAATAGAAATACACAAATCTACAAGCACACCTGTGAGGTTTAATTCAGTACTCAAAACAACACAAATGGTGTTTACATGGGTATTTCATTTCAGACCACATTGATCACAGACCAGCATTATGCAGCCAGTGCAGATACACTGACCTCTGACTAGATTTCCCCCCATCATACTGTAAATCATGCACACCTGCAGCAGTATCATTGATGAACTCTGCTTCTCTGTTATTTTTCTCTGTGGCTACCTACAGATGAATATCTCATACCCTATCTGCTGCTGCTCTGCAGTTAGGAGGACAGTTAACATTAAAGAGCCAGAACTAATGAATCACTGTTAGGGCTCCTGGCAGAGGTAAGTGTGCATATGTGAATGGGACAGGCCAACTCATGATACATTAACGTTCACTCCCCCCCTCATAATCATCAAAAGAAAAATGCAAAGGACAGTGTAAGTGCATTTATTTCTTATATGTTTTAACATATTAGATAACAATATTTCTCATAGACAAAAGTTTTGTTAAATAGCCGAGCTTTCGAACACCCCTCTGTGTCTACAAGAATAGATAAGTGAGGTTTAGGCTGTGTTAATACTCTGCAGCATGTGGCTGATGTCAAGCCTTGTGGTTAAGTTTGGGGACACCATCTTAAAGAGCAACTTTCCAATTACTCTTGGCTTCATACAGGACTTTTGAAAGTCTAGTGTTGTTTTTCCAATCCATTGCCTCATCCACCACAAGTACAGTCTTTTGATTTCTGTTTTTTCATCCTCTTTAAAGGGTTGTTTGCAGATGGATCACCATCGGAAATGCCAGGGGGACCATGACAAAACAGCGGTATTCGGAAACTTGGGGAAAATAACATGACCCAAGTTTGGTTTGAATTGGGCTGTAAGCTCCAATCCAATAAAACTTGTTTTCCTTACCTTCTGCCCATTCATATTCCACCTCATTTTCAATTTTTCATGGTACTTTGGTTCCTTTTCTTACCCTCCCTTCTCCCTTCTCCTTTCTCCTCCAGCCACATGGGTCTTCTTGACAGCTGGTTTCACTGACGTGTTTGCCAACAACAAGTCAGTGAGCAGTGATCACTCAATCCTCCACTGTCCAAATATTTCAGACTGTTTCCATATCAAACCCGAATCATTGGAAACTCCACAGCATATCTTATTCATGGTAGCCATAAATTATTCTCCCTGATATGAGCTCCAGTCACGTAAGGCTAAGCTGGAGACTGTGGCACACTTTGACACAGAGTGGATGGAAAGCAACAGACAAAAAAAAACATGGAATGATGAGAAGACGGACAGTGGCAGTCAAAAAAGAGATCGGGTCAAAAGACTTGCGAAGTAGAAAGTGCCGGGTAAGCTTAAAGAGTTAAGAGTTAAATATGGAGTTTGTTTCAAAGTTGTGACTCAGTTGGTTTTATTTGTATATTTTGTAGAACAGACTTTTGTGGTCACCATAGGAAACTACTCCTCAACTTCTAACTTTACCTGTGGTGTGCCACAAGGTTCACTTTGAGGTCCATTTATATTTTTATATGCTGACACCTGGCCAAATAATTTAGCACC